TGTTGCTAGACTATAAATCAGACCCATAAAATCATTTTTAATATATAACATTTTGATTTATAGTTTGATAGCATAGAAAACCGAAATATTTGTCAGAAACCCTAAATTTCAATTGTTTAGAATTTTATTTTACTTGATATGGAATGAAAATTTTCTCGCAGATGGTCCAGAATTGCTAGAAAATTACCTGGGAGGACAGACAATGAGATCAAGAACTACTGGAGGACTCATATGAGGAAGAAGGCACAAGAGAAAAAGAGGGCCATGTCTCCCTCATCATCTTCTTCCAATTGTTCCTCCTCATCAAACATCACCATAACTGAAGGAGGAGAAAGCTTTTATGACACCGGGGGAAGGAAAACCAAGGCTTCATCAGGAGGAAAGAAAACTGGAGGAGGAGACGAAGTGAAAGAAGACGAGAAAAGGGAGCAAGGGGAGTACTCACTCGATGATATATGGAAGGACATCAATCTGCCAGAAGTGAGCAGTATTGTACCAGTTTATGATGGCAACCTTTCTTCTTGTCCTCTAATGGCTTCTCCGACGCCATGGGAATACTGTTCCGACTCGCTTTGGAAAATGGATTTAGAAGAAGAGAGTAAGATTATGTTTCTTCCTACACCAAGTGGTGATCACCAATTTCTGTCATGCTGTGAATATGGAAAGGCATCTCTAACTGGCTAATGATGATTAGAATTTTCTTTTTTAAGATTGGTTCATATATGTGAAATAGTGTTAAATTAAGGAAAGCTTCTAACCTGTATAATAACGTGGGTCTGATCTGATCTGCTGCAGCAGCCAGCCATCAGCTGCAGATCACTTTGTTTATGCATTGCTGTAGTTCCTATACTCTCTGTCTTGTGTGTTTTTTCAATTTTCAGTGAGGATTGAGGAAAGAGAGAACTTCAAAGCTTACTATCATGTTGGTATGGCATGTTCATAAAAGTATATTGTATATATGTTTTTAAGGTTTAATTTTTCATCAAGTTGGTGCAATCTACCACCCTTAAATTTTTCTTTCTTGATTTAGCCCTTATTTATATGTTATTATCGAACTATATGCAAGTTCTTCTGGAAATAGGGCAACGGAAAGTATGCAGACATAAAATTAAAAAGAATTTTGAATTATGAGCATAAGAACCTTCAGGAAACGGGATCAGGATCCTCTTGATCTTAAAAAACTGAGTATGCTGAGCAGGCAATCGTGGTCGTTGAAATTTGATCAAACTGCTACAAACAGTAGGGTCCTTTAAAGTTATAATAATTGTAACCGTTGAATCAAATTTTAACGGTCACGATTGCCTGCTCAACAGACTCAATTTTTAAAGGTCAAGAGAGGATCCTGATCCCAGAAAACGAACAAGGTTCTTCTATTCTAGCTTTCCCAGATACTGTTTTGCTTTTATTTTCCATGAAAATAAAAAGCTACAACTTTGTCTGCAACTAGAAAAGTGGACAAATTCTGGTTATTATGAATGAATTATTTACTAATTAACTGGTTGAAAACTAAGGATTAGCACGTGAACAAAGTGGGGGGTGAAATAATTTAAAGGAAAAATAATGAAAAATGTTTGAAAACTTTGAGTTTTAATGAAAAATACAAAATAAAGAGTAAAATGAATAGTATTAGAATTGACTTTTTGGTGTAAAAATATGATTTTTCGTTAAAATAAATAATATCGGAAATTTTTCGTTAAAATTCTTATAATTTAATTAGGACATCAATTTATAAATAAAAAAACTAATGAAAATGACTTGAAAACTTTGAGTTTTAACGATAAAGACAAAATAAAAGGTAAAGTGAATAATATCATGTTTGACTTTTTAGTGTAAAAATATAATTTTTCGTTAAAATAAATAGTACCGGAAACTTTTTATTAAAAACCCGCTTTATAAATGTTAGATAACAGGACCCAGCATGGAGAAAAACTCCTTTTGGGGAGTGTGGTCCAGGTGGTCTTATAATAAATCCTTTTGCTAATTAAACTAGCTAGTACTTTAAAGTTATATGTCCAAGTCCATTTTCAATAAAATTTGTTTAATTATTCATCGAGTAGTGGTCCATTTAGAACTGCACAAACATATACATTCTGCACTATCCTCACCTTGCCACGCGCAAAACCATTTAATATTTCATTTCCTGATGAAAACAAACTCAGAAAGCACTTAGATATATAGAGATCTCCTGATTAATTAATGATCTTGCAAATTCACCTCAAATCTTTCCAAGAAACACAGTTGGGATTTCTTTACTTTTTTCTTTTTCTTTTTGGAATATAGATCTCTAGGCAAAAGGCAAAATCGAGTTATTAATCATTTATACATTACAAACTAATGGTAAACATCAAACAAAATGAAGAAGGGTATAAAGAAAGTATGCCCAAAAACAGGAATTTCTAACAATGAGATAGGGATGGGGGAGATCAAGAAGTACCAAAGAGTGAACGTTTTTGTTATCTTGAAACCATCTTGCAAAATAACGAAGAATTAAATAGAGATTTCAACCACATATTACAAGGAGGATGGATGCAGTGGAAGAGTGCATCCAGTGTATTGTGCGATCGTCGTATGCTACTAAAACTAAAGGGAAAGTTTTATAGGACGGCAATAAAGCCAGAGATGTTTTATGACACGGAATGTTGGGAGGTCAAAAAGTAATACGTGCAAATTGAATGTAATGGAGATGAGAATGCTTTGTTGGATATGTTGGTACACAAAAAAAATAGGATTAAGAACGAGGATATCTGAAGAAGGTAAAGTAGGAGCGGCCGCTATTGAAGATAAAATGAGAAAAAATCCGTTAAGATGGTTTGAACACGCGAGCCGAAGACCTACATATGCTCCAGTTAGAATATGCGACCATAAGATGGAGACTTAGGACAAAAAGAGTAGAGAAAGACCTAGAAAGACTTTAAAAGAGACTAAAAAAATATGAACTACTCAAAGCTAACTGGAGACTTCTTCTTGTAGTAAAAATAATATCAATTAACTCAGACACTGATTACCTTTCCAACAGTTAAAAGTTAAGGCCACTCAAAGTTAATACAACAAAATAACTACAGGAAAATCCTTGTGCTCTACCCTGAATCAAATTTCCTATTATTCTGAACCAACCACATGTTCTTTGTCAAATATACAAAGTGTTTATATTTCCTTTCCATCCAACTTTAGCATTTCAATGGATTGCACATCAGATTTGGTAAGAATTGTAGAGATATTAACATTATCTTTTTTATAGTGCCCAGATGTGAATCCTAATCTGCTTGTTCCAGTTAGTCAATGTCCAGGTTGAAATTAAATAATTGATCATTTCCAGTTATGGTTCGACGTATACAATCAATCTACATCACCTTTGTAGTGCCTACTTACGGTACTCATCTTTCCTTTTTCTTTATTCAACAAACCGAAAGGTACATAAAGTAGTCATGAGCAAACAAGAATCTCAAAACCAACACCAAAGGAAGAAAAACAACAGTATGAAAAACCAATATGGCATCTACTACAAACTGCATAACAGCTTAATATCAAGGAGAAAGCCTATTTATATCTACATTACTTTTAATTTTCTCAAAGATATATACTTCCATCTGTGTGTTGCACTTCGCGGTGAAAAGTGAAAACCTTACCATTGCTTTTCAACTACATTAAACTTGATAGCTTTGCAGGCTAATTTGACAACAATATTTAGGCTTTTCTTAGAAATGCAAAAAGTATTTGAAGCGCTCCTTAAAATAAAAGCATGTGGGTGCGCACATGCATATTTAATGTTTTCCATCAAACATTGTCAGAATCACTTTTAGTAATCTGAAAACGTTTTTAGTTATTTTAAATACTTCCAAACAACCACAATAATGAGCCAATTGGTATCAAGTTATCAACATCCCAAATTTTAATACTTACAATAATAGATCAATCATGCAGAAATTTTGTTCCATCCATTCACTGAATATATGATCTATGGTTTCAATTGAAGAATAGCTTTGAAAAATTAGGGTTTAGGGCCACCGAATTAGAGCAGCAGATGTCCGATGGTGTTCCAAACTTCCAAGTTTCTGCAAGTATATACTCTTGAGTTGGAAGAGATTGTCCAGATAACTGAATCAACCAACGGAGAATGAATAGAATTCATAGGCACAAACACATAAATAAGGGAAGTGGTATTTATGCACCATTTTTAGCTTCTCACATACTCTTTATCTTTATGACCATCAGATTGAATAAATCAAATAAAATCAACGTTCATGATTAAACAGGAATATATAAAATGTTAAAAAAACATGCGAAAATCACTTTATCATAAATAAACATCGACCAACCGCACAGCAAGATTTATAAGGAGGGTCCTCAAGCACGGCCCAGGCCCACATCGGCCGACTTTCATATGTGTACTTATAATTGAGAATCCAGCTCATCAAGTAGTTGCTGAAGCCCATAAATATATCTGACCCACTTGGGCCCAATCCAAAGGAATAACTCCAACCACCATCATTGTCTCCCGCCAAGCCTGGAATTCTTGGTTTGTGTTTTTAATACATCAATATTTCTACACGGAGGCAAAGTTTAGCTAAACCACATAGTGAACAACTTAATTTGGTATCGAATTCGCTATCTACAAAATTTAAATCTAAAACCTCTTATTTCAAAATAAAGAGAAATAACTGTAGTACTGAGTGCCACCACGCTTGGAATTCTTAGGCCTGGTTTGGTACTGAGGTGATTTTGAAAAAAGCTGGTATAAAAAAAAACTGAGAGCTGTTTTTGTGTTTGGTAAACATTTAGCTTCAGCTTTTTTTTCACAGTTTTGGGTGAAAAAAAGCCAAAAACAAGAAGTTGCAAAACCCAACTATGAAAAACTGGTTTTTTTTTCACATCTGTTTTACATAAAAGTTTATTAAATACTATAATACTGTTTTTTTTTTTAAAAAAAAAAAGCACTTTTACAAAAAAATTTATTAAACACTCTGCTACTTTATTTCATATCTCCTTATTCCTACGCACAACAAAAACAATATACTAAACCAGCCCTTATTGCCAACCGTTGAAGTTTGCAAAAGGCAGAAATGGTAAAGCTATCCAAATCCAACCTCTGTCTCTAGGCCTACAACTCTCTTCAGGCCACTGCATGGTAAAACCCCCTCAACCACAAAACCCCACCTCCCCAAATTTCATTTTGTTATTCAAATTTTGTTGTTCCTCATATCAAGATTCTCTCATTGCAGGGCAGTTTGTCTCTCTCTAAGCTTGAGCAGCTTCGTCTTCACCAACGCCGTCAATGGAGCCTAAGCTTCTGCTGGACACCTTATCTGTCAGTATTTTAGTTCCATTTGTTTTAAATTCTGATGAAAATTGGATAAAGATTTGTTTTTTAAATGAAAATTGGATAAAGATTTGTTTTTTAAATGAAGTGTTGGGTTACATTTTTTTTTGCTGCAGATTTGCTCCAAATGGTACAGTTCTTGGAAGTTACACACGGAGCAATTGGTAGGTTTTCTGAAAGACCCAATATTTATTTATTTTATTATTTATTATTTATTATTTATTTTTTTTGTGTTCAAAGAAGTAGAACCCAATATCTATATAAGGTATATTTTTCAAATTTATTAGGTTTATGGGTTTTGTGTTTATATGTGTTCTGAAAATTGAGGTCTGGTGCCGAGTGGAGTGGTGTTGCCTCTGATGCAATGGGCAGGAAGGGCCCATTTTTTGTATGTTGTGCGCCAAACTCATGAGGTTTTCTTCCTTCTCTTTCTCTCCTTTTTATCTGTTTGTTGTTTTAGTTTCAGTTTTAGCACTAAAAACACTTATGGGTTTAATTATGGGACTTTAACGAAAAGCCCACGATACTGTTCATTTTAACGAAAAACCACATTTTTACACTAAAAAGTCAATTCTGGTACTATTAACTTTACCATTTATTTTGTCCTTATCGTTAAAATTCAGAGTTTTCAAGCTCTTTTCATTAGTTTTCCTTTTAATTATTTGAGATATGATGAGCATTCTGTGAATATGTTACATGGTGAGAGAATGACGAAAGGGATGTTTGTTTAAGCATGGACTTGAATGCATATTATGGCTATTGTTATGGATTTCAAGACCCCAATCCCAAACTCCCGAGATCAAGTAAAGTTGCTAGATAAGATAATTTAAGGATACTAGGTAAAGATCAATAACATATATACTTTAAATCAGTATTCTTTATGCGGTTCAATCCAAACTGGGGCAATCCATTGACCATGATTTGAACTAAAGGAAGAAGGATAAAAGTATCACAATGAAGAATGTATAGGTTCTTCCTTGTGCAAGTATAATCTTTTCCTTTCCCTTGCATTCAATCAAGAACACTGAATGTAACCCAACCTGACTGGCTATCTAATCTGTGGAGAAAACTTATGTACGAGCCTTCACACATCCTGACGTCCAGGTTCTAATATTCCACATATATCTTTAAGAACTATGGTAAGAAATACAAAATATGCTTCTGGTAAAAGCCTACAAACCTTTGTTGCCAGTCGTACTTTCTAGCATGCGATGTAATCAGACTCATTTTCACTTGAGAAAAATTACGCAAAGAGAAATCCTAAGTTCTGTAGTTCTGCAGAAGTGCTTAGTTCTTGTGAACTTGTATGAACATTTATGAGGTCTGTTCATTGTCCACAACTAATTGCGGACCATAATTTTGAGCATTTTGTAGGTCCAAGAGTCACCATCAGTCTTCATAACTTTTGTTGCTTGGAGCTTAACTGAGGTAATTTGGTGTAATATTTATAATGCAATCAAATTTTGTTTAACTAAATAGCGTATTTCAAATTATGATCACAAACCTGTCTGCAGGTTATTAGGTATCCACATTATGCTTTTAATTGCACGGGTAGCTGTCCATCTTGGATTACCTATCTCAGGTTCTACTCTTTCTCATTGTGATGATAAATTCAAAAGTTCGCATACAAGCATATAATTACAATACCACTCAACAAAAAGTTATACAATACAAGCAGAAGAGGATTTTATTTTCAATTATATTATTATTTTTTTTTCAACAAGGTACACTGCATTCATTGTCTTGTATCCTCCAGGGATGGCTGGTGAAAGTAAGTTCATCGTTTCCATTAGTCTTGGGTTTCGATTTTTGGTTGCATGTGCAAGTCCCCCTCCCCTTCTCCGTTGATTTATTTCTGTAAATGGTCGGTGATAACCATGCAGCCTGGCTTACATACCAAGCACTTCCTTTTATAAACAAGAAGAGCCTCTCCCCACATTTCTCCGCTGGCCTCTCTTTCAGCTATTATAACTTTCTGAGGGTATGTTCTGATTTTTTTCCACCATGATATGTTGCTTCTTTCCACTTTTCCAAGTAGGCACTCATGGTAGAGAACAGGTCCAAAACTTTCATATATTTTGCCGACTAAAATTGCACTTAGGAATATTTTCTCAACATATATTAAGCCTTCAAGTCTAAGAAAAATTCTAGTAACCTAGGATAATTTGAAGTGAGCTTCAAATTTTTGCACAATTTATGAATTCTTAAACTTACCTTATTTCCTCTGTATTTATGCTTAGTGCACATAGTTGATGTGCTTCATATTAGCTGAGAAATGATGGACTCAGAAAATATCAGTTTCTTCGAGGTTTTGGGGTGAACTGCCAATTTGAAACCTGGGTTTGTGTTGGAGTTGCACTACTAGGATATCTTTTTATTAATCAAATTTCCCCATGAAAGAAAGAAAATATGAAGTCCATAGTAGGATCTCCCATTTCAAAGTTGGTATTGCCAAGACCTTTCAGTGTCAGATCTGTCCAGGAAAAGTGCCATGGTTTTCTTGGTCCTCCAGTAAGGCGCCTCTATAAATATATACTCTTTGAATCTGCCATGTGGTTCCTTCAGTAAATGTTTTAGTCTTCAATGCACATGTATCAGAAACCATGCAACAAGGGGAAACATCTTCTATTTTCTATCAACGCCTTAACTAATGTTTCGGTTATGGTTAGCTTTTATCATTGTGATTAATATCATTGGATTCTTCTTATTCAGGTTTTGCTTGTCTGCTACCTATTCCTCTTGAGTATATTAACTGTTGGAAGTAGATGATATTTTGGCACTTGATGCGTTGGATTTCTAATGCACGTAGTAGTGGAATTGTAGCTTAAAAATTGTTATCCCTCTACACAAAAGTGTAATCTAGTTAAAGTTCTATATGTGGTCCGTCCTAAGTGTTGTTTTAAATTTATGCATAACTTACTCATGATACATGTTCCCACTTCTTCCCCCTTGTCTTTCACTTTTGCGATCAAAGTCCCTTGCCTATGGATGGTTGGACCGAATAGAACCAGTATCAAGGAAGCAGCCCTATAGCCTCTTGTTTAGGTTGGATGTTTGGACATTATGCCAACTAGCAGGTATGCTTTTAATCTAAGTGTACGTTTTTATTATGGTCTGCCAAGGCTATCTCTATGTGCATAGTTCACCCTAGTTTCTACATAGTATATTGCCCCATCTACGACTGACATCTCAAAGTGTACTCTCTCTCACACCCATATTTTCACTTTGTACATTATGTAAACGCATGCTACAAACTACCGTGGACGTTTTGGAGTTTACCATGTAAACACTCGTGTCATTTGTATGATTATGATTTCACCATCCTAATCTCGTCGATCCAATTCTGTGCATCAACAGTTCTGTGCCATCTTCTTGCCTATTCCATGCCAGATAATATAATTACTCCTTTTCCGCAGGCCATTATTTACTCAACGACATAATCACAATTACCTTTTTCCACTCAAGTTACTGTTTCAAACACCCCCCCCCCCCCCCCCCCCCCCCCTCCTTCTTCTCCCTCCCTCCCTCTCTTTTACTGTACCAAATATTTGGTCTCTTTCAAGATCTGTTGTCGTCTTGTCGTCGACATTGTCCTTTAGCTTTTTAGTTATTGGTTGCCAATGTTGTAGTTGTTATAATAGGACAACTGGCTCTGTCTCCTTTCTCTAAGCTTCCTGTTGAGTGATTTGGCTTGCAGGTTATAGGGTGGATTGTAGTCACGGATCCATGAGCTGGACTACTCAACAGCCACTCTATATAGACCACAAAGTTGCCAAATTTTGGTACCTTTGTATTTGAATTTTGGGGCCAAATTGTGGCTCATGTCATTGGCGAAAAAAACTCTTACTTTTAACCTTGTTAATAAGCTCGTTATCAATCATAGTCAAAATCGAACTGTACATCTAAATTCCATGGTTTTAAAAGACGCTAGGCGCTAGTCGGCCGGCGGGCTGGGGCCTAGCTCATAGGCGGCGAGCTGGGGCCTAGCGCATGGGCGGACTAGACGGATTTAAGTAAATCTATTATATTTCGTGTGAATAAGTGTTTATTTATACTTAAAATATATATATATATATATATATATATATAATTTCATCATAAACTACAAAATAGAATGACATATATTATAAAGTATTAAAACATAATGAAAACATGGGGACCAAAAATATAATGTATATTCATTTAAGTATGCAACAAGTCTCTTACAATTTATTAAAAAAATAAAATGCAAAATTAAAGTTATATATTGTCTGTCTGGTTGAGTCACGACTTAGGCGGGTCTAAGCAGGCGCCTTAGCAGATCTAGGCGTCATTTCTTAATTTTCAAACGCCTAGGAATTAATAGGGGAGGTGGTCAGCCACCTAGCACTTATGTGGAGCTTAGGCGGCACTAGATGAGGATTTTTAAAACAATGCTAAATTCTAACTTAATTTGCTCATGTGCACGCTGCGTGCAAGGGTAGAAAGGTCATGTTAAACATTGAAGCTTCTTGGATGCTTGAATTAGTCTTGGAAGGACTCTTTTACTCTTATAAGTGATGCACGCATTTGTCCGAATTTGAGGAAATTCAAAGTTCAAATTTGAGATTCTTAAGAAATGTTAACTACAACGGAATTATTAGGAGTTTTTCCGCCACATTAGATATATAACCTACACCACAACAATGAGGACCTTCATGACACTGGTATGCCATCATTGTAGCATCATGTACCAAAAGTACACTGAAATGTCATAGTAACAGTGTGTTCGAGTCATGAGAGTTGCTCTCCACTACCTAAAGCATCTGCTGCTCGCACATCTATCTTTGTTGTCCAAAAAGGCCAGTCTGTATTCTCTTAATTAATAATTAGCTGACTAATTAGCCTTAATTTTTTTAATCAAACGCATGCATGCCACTTTCCACCTAAAACGTTTTTTTTTTCTGTTCTTTTCAAAAACTGAACACCAATGAATAGAAAACAAAACAATACAACTTCCACATCAAATTCAACAATCAACAACATCCAAAATACAAAACTTCGCCAAACCACCAACCATTTCATCAACTTGAACTGAAACGAAAAAGAGAAAAAAAAAGAGGAGAAATCTCTTAGTAGTCTGTGGTGGGGAGCTGCTCGTGGGTGTCTTGGGCGATGAAGATGAGCTCGTAGACTACGGCTGCAATGGCAGCCCCGATGAATGGTCCGAGCCAGTAGACCCAGTGGTTGTCCCATGTCCAGCTGACGACAGCTGGGCCGAAGGAAACTGCGGGGTTCATGGATGCACCATCAAAGGCACCGGCAACCAAGATGTTGGCACCAACAATGAAACCAATGGCAATGGGTGCAATGGTGCCGATGTTGCCGTTCTTGGGGTCTACGGCGGTTGCGTACACGGTGTAAACCAAGCCGAAGGTGATCACAATTTCGAGGACCACAGCATTCCATACTCCGACGCCGGACGATAGGGAGAAAGCAGATGTTTCCTGCATCAAATCAATTAACATGTTATAAAAATTGGTTGTTTCGATTGAAAGTATTAATTAGGGACGATGGGTTAGTGGCATACCAATCCACCGGTAGCAAACTTGAGGAGCAAGCAAGCAATGACGGCTCCAATCAACTGGGCGATCCAGTACAAGATAGTCCTGACGAAAGTGATGTGGCCACCAATGAAGGCACCGAATGTGACGGCAGGGTTAACATGCCCGCCGGAGATGTTTGCGGCGATTGAAACAGCGACAAAAAGGGCGAAGGCGTGCGCTAGGGCAGCAGCTACAAGGCCGGCCGGTGTGGTTGATGCACTGTCAGTGAGCTTGTCTGCCAAAACAGAAAACACAAGATTAAGCAATGCACACTGCAACATAATAACCAAATAAATAAATATTTTTTTGCCAGACAATCTGATAGGTTAAATTATCGAGCAGCTGTTTTAACTTTGATATATACAGAGCATATTTAAAATATGATAATATAATGTGTTTTGAGCGAATGTTACGTAAAACAAAGTGAAAAATGAAAATGATGACTTTAACACAAATTCGTAAGATTTCTGCTTGAAATATATAGTTCGGATTCATAGTCTGACAATATATATATATATATATATATATATATATATATATATAATGTATTTGAACAAACATCACATAAAACGAACGGGAAATGGAGAGGGTGACTTACTGAAGGCCATGCCAGAGCCTTCACCAGCAAAAACAAAGATGAGGACTGAGATGAACTCAGCAAGAGCTGCTTTCAGAGCATGAGCCTGACCAAACTCAGCTGCGCTTCCCAGTGCAATTCTGTTGATCGCCATTTCGACTTTCGGCTTAACCAAAAAGCCTTTAGACTGTCGCAAGAGGAAAATAAGCTGCTTTTGCTCTGAGTGTTTTCGGTTAGAGTCATTGTGACAGTTATATAGAGCGGTTCCTAATGACAACGTAAACACGATGCGGGACTGGACTAGCCGGTTTCCGGTGGCACCGGAAATTCAACGACATGTACAATTAGCGGCCACCTGTCATTGTCTGAGTGGGCTAGTAGGCGGCCCTCCAATTTGTTCTCATCTTGCCACGTGGACGGCTGATGTGACTTGGAAGCTTGACTAATCAGCAATGATGGAGAAGTTTGATCACATTCACCGGCCAATGTTTTGCCTTGGCGCCCTTGCGGTTGTCGGTCCTCCCCAATGATTGTTGTCGTTTAGACCGACCAATGTTATTTTATTTATAATTTTGTGGCTAAGTGTGATTAGTTGGTGCTGGCTTCACTTCTTGAGTTTTATCATGCACTAATTATCCAACAAAAAAGAATTATCAACGTAGTTATAGTGATTAAATTCATTTTCAATTGAAGTTAAGTTAGAGCAATATTGCATTGGTCAAAATGCGTGATCCTACAAAGTTCAAACTCAATGATTTACTTATTTCCTACATTGTTTTGTTGTTGTTGAGGACATTGCTAAATTCAAATAAACACGAGTGAAGGCTATTACTCCTACTTGCAGTTTATTCTACTTGTATTGTTTTAAGAATTTCTATGAAAGCTCTTCTTGAGTATAACTATCATGAGGGCAAGATGTTTGATAAAGTCCCAAAAAAATTAAGGTAGGATAATTGAAGGCAAAGCGTAGACTTTTGAACTATTGAGCAAGAAGGTGAAGAGTGATGCAAACCTGGGGTAGGTCATGTACTTAGCACGAAAACTTCATAAATTCACTACTGATTGAGTACGTATAAGGTCAAAAGGGAAAATGATGCAATTGTAAATGTTGGGATGATTGTTTTCTCACCAAAAGTTACAAGAGTTTGATAGGAAGTGAAATTACTTGTAAACAAACAAGTTGATGGTAACATTTATGTGAAGATATTTCAATAAAAAACAAACAAAATGCTTTACAACGAAGCATCTAATTATCATATAAACTGATGTGATTAATAAATTCAAATTGGGGGCCGCGGGGGAATTAGCATTGGTATATTCTTTAGGGTTAGGTTGTAGTGCATATACATGATTTTTCTCTAATCCATTGTTAAAACGAAAAGGACGAATTATCAATGCATCCGATAAATGAGTAGCAAATAAGCAAATTACATCGTATTCTCATGGGATTATCAACAAGAATTAATATTTTCATGAGAACTGGCTTACATGACATTTGATTAGAGAAATGCTAAGGAGATTCTCTCAAAAGTGAGACTTTTTTTTAACTCTTCGTTACCTTATGTTTTTGACACAATTCTCATGCCAACATTATATAAATTGTGCAAAATATATGAGATGGCGAAAAGTCCAAAAGAATCCTGCTTTGAGAGAGTCTTAATTAGAAAGTATAAAATATAATTTGGCCTTATATTAATAGCATGGTCGATTAAAATAGGGGTGGTCAAAAATCCGTCAAACCAACTAAATCAAACAAATTCGATTAGGCTTTTGATGGTGTCCTTTCTCAGTTCACTATTGTTTATGCGGTTATTACTTCCAGCCGACATCGAGAATGATGGTGTGATCTTTTGGATATTCGTTCTTATACTACTGTACCTTGGATGACAATTGGCGATTTTAACACTATTCTTGGAGCTCATCAACGGATGGTTGTTTGCCAGCTCGAACTTCTTGTGAGGATTTCTGCAATATTACTGAGCTTTGTGATTTTACTCATATCGCCACTACTGGTACTTATTGTACCTGGGCTAGAGGTCGAGGTGTTCATGGTCATATGGAGAGGAGTCTTGATACATCTTTATGTGACACCCGTTTGTTAGAATTATGGCCTCACACTAGCTGTTCTGCTTTGCCAAGAGTAGTCATTGGTCATGATTGTTCAGCCTCGATTGTTTTACCAGGAGCCCTAGGCCTTTTCGGGTTCAATCTATGTAAACTTAGCAGTCTATAATTGCATATTGTTGTAGCATGTTTGTTATGTTGCAGAAGCTTAAGGCCTTGAGCATTTTCTTGGGGGATTGAAATTCTCGTATTTTTGGTGATGTTCATTAGAATGTCACTATTGCTAAGGAGAATTTTAGGACTATTCAAAATATTATTGCTTCCAATTGGCTTACTCAATAGAGGTTCCGAATCCAATTCAAATGGCTTACTAAGGGTGATCGTAATACTGCTTTTTTCCATGCTTATGCCCGTGTTAGGTCTTCATCTTAAAAAATTGCTACTCTAATGGATGGTGATACTATGCTCTATTCTCCGACTGATATTGTTGATCATGTGGTAAATTTTTATCAATCTTTATATAATTCTTCCTTCGCTCTTTCTAGAATTGGTGATGCACAATTCATCTTATGGTTAGTGTGGAGGAAAATTCAGTCCTTTGTTCTCTACCTTCACGAAATTAAAAGTGTAGTGTTATATATGGACCCTTCGAATGCACGGGGACCGTATGGTTTTTTTTAGTTCTTTTTATCGGTCTTGTTGGGATATTGTTGGTTTGGATGTTATTGCTTTTGTGCAAGACTTTTTTAAACGAAGTTGGTTATATCCCAATACTAATTGTAACTTTGTGGTCCTTAATTATTTCGAAAGTTGAAGGGACTGCTACTATTACTCACTATCGTCTCATCGCACTTGCACATTTTCTATTTAAATAATTCTTAAGATTTTTGCTGATCGACTCAGACCTATTTCCAACCGTATTGTTTCTCCTCAACAAGCATTTTTCTAAGAGGTAGACGTATTTCTGATTGCATTGGCTTAGTTTCTAAAGGGTTCAATTGACAAAAAGGCTTTTGGTAGTAATGGGGGCATAAAAGTGGATATTGCCAAGGCTTTTGATACTTTAAATTGAGATTTTCTTCTTCATGTTCTTTCCAATTTTGGTTTTTCTCGTGTTTTTATGGACTAGGTTCATATCTTATTACAGTTAGCTCGTCTTTCATTTCTAGTAAATGGCACCCCACATAGACTTTTCTCTTGTTCACAATTTGTTCGTCAGGGAGATCCTATTTCCCTACCCCTTTTTTGTCTTGCGGAAGAAGCTCTTAGCAGAGGTTTAACCTTACTTTACTCCACTAGACAAATTATTGCAATTTTGGCTCCAAAGGGTTGTTGCCTCCTACTCATGTGTTGTATGCAGATAATCGTTTTATTTTTTATTGTGAAAATGCCCGATCTGTTATCTACCTTCACAATTTCTTAGATATGCATGCATGCTTCTAGGCAATTTGTTAATGCTGATAAGAGCACCTTTTACCTTGGGTCCATCTCTTCTTGTCGCAAAGCTCATATGAAGAGACACCTTGTTTTTCATTTGGCTATGCCTCGTTTTACTTATTTGTGTGGATAGACAAATTAATGTGCATCCTAGTTTTCAAGTTTGTCCTCCTTCACTATATGTATTTTTCCTTTTTTCCTAACCTACTACTTTTTGTGCTTTGCAACTTGTTTTGCAGGTTTAGACCTTCTAGGTATTTCTTTAGCGGAGTTTAGGCTTGACGTTCCCCCTCCTTATTTTCTTAAGGGTCAGGTTGATGTCTCCCCTCAAAAAAATAAAAATAAAAAAAAATCATTTTCTTGTATTCTTATTTGTTTTCTTAAGAGGGATTAGGTTTACATTTGCATCTCTTTTATTGTATTTTTCACTTTATTATTCCTCCTTGTATTATGAGTAATTAAGATTTATGTTTCCTAACTAGATGCCTTTTTTCTTTCTTTCTGATTTAATCAAATTTCTCTTGTGTTGTCGAAATTTTCTTAAAAAAAACCTTTTCACTGAATTGAACCAAACTGCAACTAATTTGATTTGGGTCAGTTTAGTTTATTAATTGGAAACTGTTCCTAAACTACTAACGTTAGCTGTATACATTTCTTGGCACTAAAAATCTTTTCTTATGGCTCACACATTGATATTTGACCATTTAATATCTAAAGCTAAATTCCCTAAATCATTCGATTTTGACGTTTCTATCTAAATTCACCATCTTCAATAGCAAGAAATTTTCTCTACTATTATTCAACATATGGTATGAATTTCTCTTTGATATAGAGTACAGAAGAACTCTTTAAGTGCTTATGAAGAAAAAAAAAATGGTCGAACCGAACAACCAAACAGGTTACTGAATGGCGTGGTTTGATTCCGTTATACTACTAGTTTGAACCGTAAATCAAATCAATACGAACCAACCAAGATGTTAAACTGACTCATCCCTAATTAACAATATGCTACTTGTTAAAAATAAATAAAATGGCGTCACATGCCATTCTTTGTTGTTGTGCTCTGCTGTCATATGCTATATATATATTATAATTCCGCAACGACTATGCTTTGTACCATGACATCTCTACTAATTATTTTGTGAACGTGAGGGGGAAATTTAGAATATTAAAATTATATTAAGTGGGTAATGTTGGAGATGAGCTTAAAATTTGTCACCACTTCAACATGTAAATTGGTATAAATTAATCGTTAGATTATCAAGCCGACCACAATGATATGTATGAGCCATTTAAAATTCTAAAAGCACATAAAATAGCAAGAACATGACACAAATCCTCAAATCCTCAAATTTAATTGTGCACATTTTCATTCGTATTTATATTGTCTGCGAATATATATCATTTGAGCTCCATTCCTTTTTATTAAAACAAAGTCTCCCTCACCTTCCCTTTTTCTCATAATTTTCAATCTTATCTGTTGATTACTTTATCTAAAAGGGATGGCTCACGATCACTAATCATAATTAAAATGCTAAATCCTTTTTAGTTTATAGTTTTTTTGGATCAGATCTAAGTTGAATTCAGAGAGCCAAAGAGTTTGGTGGTAGAGGTGAGTTGTAAACCCTAATAACCAAATTCGTTTGAGGCATGCAGCTAGTAAATGCCTTGGATGCATGTTTTGTATTATATATGGATTAACAATGACTAGGATCACATGCAGGCGCAGAATATGCAGGTGTTAGAAGGTTTTATTTTTCCCCAAGTTGGAGAGATTTCCTTGGCATCTTGGCAGTTGGTTCCTATTCGATAACATACCTTTTTTTTAGATTGTCATGTTAGACTAATCAGTGAAATCATTGCTTAAAACTAGTTAACCCTTTTTAGCATATCCTTTTTATCAATGCTAATTTGAGTAATGTTAGGGGCAATAAATTTTTATGGATGCTAATAGTCGCTTTTTAATTCTACCGTTGGTCCAAATATTAACCAAAATTGTGCTAAAAAATAAAGGGCAGCTAAATTTTGCACCCTTCTAGTTTAGCAAACTAACACTAAAGACACAAATTTTTTCACCATTGGTTCTTCTTTAGTAATTTAACAGTCAAGTTAATCTTTATTTTTCTGATATAGCACTCAGTTGACCTATTTTTTTTTTTTTTCTTTACATGCCCGTTTCAGAACATGCCCATTTGCCCATTGGACTTATGCCCGACTAGGTGGTAGCGCATTTAGTTCCAAATTGGCATTTCCCTGACAATTGTGTTTAATCTTTACAAACATCAAAGTTCTCATTCGGGATTAATTCCCTTCGTTTGTGCAACTGTCAAAATGAAGATAAGTGTTGAAGAGATCATAATCAAGCTGCATAAACATATTATTATTTTTTTGGTCGAAGATTGTATAAACATATTTTTTTTGGTCGAAGGCTGTATAAATCATTTTTTTTCATATCTTCTCTGTTCGTGATGAATTTTTGCACTTAAAATTGTACCTAGATGAGGCTAAGCATGATGTTTAGTTTTACATGCGTCACGTCACGTGTCTTTTTAAGTAAGTCATGCGATGTAATCAACAACTCACAAATATCTTATTTTGATCTTGAAATCCTATCCTTGAGTGTCCGTTGTCTTTGGTGATTTCATTCCTACATTCCTTGACATTTCCTTCTTTGTTGTTTTGAGAAGGCTGCTGCCTCCAGTTCATTATTGTGTGAAATGTTTATCATTTTCTTCATGAAAAATTGATTTTAAATCCCAAAAAAATTGGTTTACATCCACACTTTGCATGATGATCTAAGATACGCTTCTCTAATAAAGCATAAAATCATCTTAGGTATAATATTTATATACTTGTGTTGTTGGTGCTACGAAGATGAAGAATTCATGAAGGAGCTGCCATGTTTTGCAAATTAAGACCAAACTTGGTGATGATGTGTGAGGATGAAGTTGCACGTACGAAGGTATAAATCATATAAATTCTCAAGCCATAGTAGATACCTGGTCAGCGATGACCACCGGTTTTTCCCAAAGGTGGGTTTCCGGGTGAACGCCTTTTTGTGTTATTTGTTTTGCTTTTGTGACTTGAGAGTTTGTTGAATGCTCATCAGGCGATCGCCATAAGTTCATAGGAACTTGTGTACGTTGTTGTATCAGTTGAGATGTTAGTTTTCTTGATAGACTGCTCTCACATATCACTCGAATTAATTATTGCTGTCTCGGGTGCCCTAGAGTTCAGGTTGTCACGATTATGAATGCTATACGTATTCCATTAAATGTCTGTGTTAATTTTTTTTTTCTGAAATGTTAAGTTCATATGTGCACCTAGAATTGTTGTGCTTCATTTCTATATCTGTTCTGGATTTCTATATTTAGTTTTCTGATAAAGTACTATGCAGTAAGTTTAAGAAGTTTGATCAAGTTTGCTTTATGTTAGTGTGATCTTGTTCTTGAGTCATCACTAGTATCCAATTTCATTAGCACTCTCCGACTTCAACTACAAGTGATGAAGAGAAATAACACTAGATGGTAATAGCGTTGGTAAAATAGAATTGACATTTAAGTCATTGTTTAGCCATTTAGCCTAGATTGAAATTTTTGTCAATTCTCTATCTAAAGACTGCACGTGAGAGCCTCATGAGACTAACTCTTCACTGAAGTAACTGTGTACACATAAAATATCATGACCAATGAGAGTATTCCACGTGTACAACTTATCAAATATGACTACTTTGCACTTGACGGAATACGCAAAACATTAGCCAAACCCTTACGAGCTATCGGGCCACATTCTCTACAAAGGCCTTAGAAATGCACAATCAACTGGCCCTCAGGCTCAATTCTTCGCCAATGGTCCAAGTCAATTGCCATGTGACCAACGCACCTTGATATGCAATAAGCTTGCCTATCAGCCTCTTACGAGGCAAGACTCTCCAAAGTATATTCTAGGAATCTCAGAAGAATATTTGTCCATCAGTGTGCAGACAAGGTAACACTATGTTAACATATTCAATGAACCTAGACGCTAGGGTTAACTCCTCAAGCTTAGCTACTTTATTCCAGTAATAAAAAACTCTCACCACACTCTTATTATTTCTTACACACTTAGGTATGGGAAGCCCTTTGGCTAACACCACACTGGTTTTACTGTGACTTTGTTTGTCTCTTTTCTTTATATATGTAAATTTTCATCAATTCAACCATAGCGAAAATTTGCTCCCACAGTTACAACCTCTATTAAGAATAATAGTTGTTAGCTTACTAATCCCGACTCTTATTAAGGGGGTATGAGTATAAGAAATCCTCAAGCAAAACAAAGAACCACTATTTCTTTGTTACTCTCATTCTCCACATCTCAATTACTATCATCAATCTACCTCTCCTACTGTTCCTATGTTCTATTTGTTGGACAATTGATTAAGATTTGACATTCGTGTATGCCAGTAATCTGCATAAGGGCCCATACATCATGTAAGGCTTTCCGTTTATATTGGAGTTATATATCAATTATTGCATTATGCAATGTCATGATATGCAAGTAAAGAGGCGTTTACGGATTTAGGACCATGATATCTTTGCCTTTCCTGAGTTGACATGCCAAAGACTCTACTCTTTTTTTTTTCTTTTCTCATATTAACCAATTTTGCGTCGTCATGATGGAATTCACCTCAAAGATTCAACAAAATGAACTATGAATTACACCGAGACTGTTTGGGATAAACTCCACAACTCTTGAGATACAAATGGTTAAGTTGGGGATAATATTAGTATTGAACCATTTTGTCCGTTTCTCTGAAACTTTCATATTGTATCAGAGCGGGTTTGGTCTGGGCCCAAACACTAGGTTTGTACTCTTTTTTGACCCCCTTAACAGGAGTTTGTTCAAAGTGCATACCATTCACATGCTTGTCTTTCCTTTCATAATGTGGAAGTTCTCTGCACGTGTGACCCACTAAATATTTCACATGAGATGGCATGTTGGAAATCTCACGTTGGATTTGGCAAAACCAATCGCTATTTATATACAAGAGGTTCCATTTATAAATACACCAAGTCCTTTTAGAAAATCCTACACCTCTTGGAGTACATGTGGTTAAGCTAACTAACAAATGTTGGACTATTTGACCCGTCTCTCTTAAACTTTAACAAAATCGTTACCTTTCAATTAATAAAGATGAAATGACAAAGTTAACCTCGTACACGTTATACTCATTTCGTCCTTCAATTAATACAGGAATTGTTTATGCATTTGGGCCTTAGAAGTTTTATTGAAAACGAACCAAACAACATTTTTGGCTCACTAGGACCACTACGAACCAAATAACTTGAAAGACTCAAATAATTTGTTACAAACGTAAAGCAACAAATATGAGTGACTAAGGGCCAAGTCCACACAACCTTGCTGCCAATAATCTTGTTACACATATCATTGTTGTTAATATTTA